ACGGTCCTTTACCGTGTGCTGTAGCAAAATAATGCCATTCAGCATCTAAGTTGAAATCCTTTTTGTGGTAATAAATATTTACGAAGTTCTTGAAGTTTTTAAATTGTTGCGGAGCACCATCAGAGAAGTAAACAATTTTAGTTGCATTGGAAAACGATTCTTTTAGAAAATCGTTAATAATTTTAAGATACACATGCACAGCAATTGCGTCATGATTATTGCCATCAGAAATTATGACTAAACTTCGATGCTTCAGTTCGCTGTTCTGTTTGTAATACATTACAACTGGAAAAATCGTTGCTTGATTATTATTCCAATGAAATCCCGGCGCTGCGTCCTGTATTACAAAGGCGTAATTTTCAGCAAAATCACAAATCGCTAAAAACTCATTATCCTGTAACGATTCTTTTTTGAGTTTTAGGAAAGCAGATTGTTGTTTAGCAATAAAATCATATGGTAAAAGATTTACTATATGATCACAAAATATGTTGACGAATTCCAAGGAGCTCTTGATAAATGTGTCAAGACGACAACGAGGATTAGATATCCAATATTTATATGTGATATCATCTACTGCATTTTCATCGAATAAGGTTTCTAACATACTTCGGAGAACATCGATTCCTGGGCACTTTACACATTTCAAGAAGTAACAATCAGATGATGGATTGGGACATAGTACTAGTTTAAAACAATCACTATATTGCATCAAAGGAATTGTCGAATGATGAGTTAGCGTTGTTAAATTAGAACCTGCCAGAAAATAAAATTATTAACTCTTATAGTTAAAAAATAAAACTTTTGTAATGCTCACCTGACATCATGAGTTTTATATTTTGATGGATAGCACTCACACAAATAGTGTGAGTACCACTCGATCCTGCAAGTACACAATGGACAGGTCTTAATGATGCAAAGCTAGAAAACCCTATCCAATCATCAGGATACTGTTCCTTAAATATTTTATACAATTCTTTTAAATTGCACAAAATAAGTTTTTTTGGATATGTTCTTTTTGACCATCCTCTTTTCGCATAGAAACAAAATCTTTTTTACCAGGCAGATTTACACTTACATCATCATTTTTATAAAATTCTATGACCTTGCATTTAGTTTCGTTCGATAGAGGTCGTCCTAAATAGAAGAGAACTTATTAGATGATTGAAGTAAAAGAAAAATATTTACCAAATGTAATTTAAGAATAAAAAGTTTGAAAACTTTACCTATTTTTCTCTGTGGCATCGACAAAGTTCCTTTTTTTTCTTTTAAAAGTTTTGACACTATTGCCATGTGTTTTGTAGCACCCATAACATCGTAAATCTTATTGATGCTCCAATCAGAAGGAAATAGAGTTAAAATTTGTAATTTTTCACTTCTAGTAGTACTCTCAGCCTTAAATTTAGCTTTGAGATTCTCTACAATATTTTGGTAATCAACTGAGTTCTGATAATGGTTAGATTTATCATCTATTTGTAATAATGTCGCAAATGTAGAGCAAATTTCGTTATATTTTTCACTCAAATATAATGGATTATTTATTGCATATTTATCAATTGGATTTATATTTAATAATGGCAGAGCTTCGTTAATTACAGGTAATTGAGTACCAAGACTCAACTGCGATAGAGTTCGAGTAACTTCTTCACCAGATAAAGATATTAATCCTTCAATATAAAAAATTCATGATAATTATTATTAAAGTAAATATTAATAATAAAACATTACAATGAAAAATAAAAATACCTGAAGAAAATGAATTGCTAATTGATACTGGTTCACTTATTTCACAGTTATCGGT